TTTAGATTTCAAAATTTTCCTAACTCTGTTGGTGTACTCTCGCCTGACAATAGTTTTTACTTCTCCATGCTTGATGTTATCCAATTGAAGAATGTCTAAGTATTTGTAGGCTTCATTTTCTTTGCATTTAATTAATTGGCCATTGGGCAGTTCAATTCCATTATTATTATTATTATTATTATTATTATTATTATTATTATTATTTTATCTTGTTATTATTAAGAGTTGCTCGATAATGAGAATGAGATGGACTGCATAGGAATGAAATAAATAAGCTGTCCAGCTTACTGTTACAGTGATTATGTTTCTTTTGAGAACAATTGAAAGTTTGAGACAGTATAATGTTATAATACCTCAATTTTTTCTCATTTGTATTTAATATGTTTCATAGAAGGTACATCCCAGTTGATGTTGGTGACATATTAATATTAATGAGAAATTGAATAAAAGGCAAAAATTAGGTCCCATACATTACGGTGCACATTGCTCACTTCAAAATACAATACAGTACTCTATTCACAGAAAACAAACCAATGTGTTTTAGTTATTAAAAATATGGATGGATCCGTGCAATCACTTACAGTAATGCCTCTCCACATTGCTTTGGGCCTTATTATATTACATACAACTTTGTATACCAAAAAGTTGGTTCCAATAATGTACATTCATAAAGGTAATTTGTATACTTGACCAACTTTGTGTAATATTCATAGTTTGGAACATCTTATTTAAAGATCCCCATATGAATTGTATCTATGATACACAACTTCCCAGAGGGCTTCATTTAATTATATGCCTTATGTCATGGGCTTGTTGCATCTTGTCTGATTTTCACTGACATCTTAAGAAACTTCAAACAGAAACTTGTTTTGGGGAGTTTAAGATTCTGCATACCCATTTTAAAAATGTAATTTATTCTCAATTTTTTATTTTAAAATGGTTGTCATCATACATATTGAAATGTAAAATATTTGAGGTCAATTGCAACTTCTAGGCTATAGAACTTTTTCAACTGATTAATAATTAGGTTTAAATGCCAAAGATAAATAGGTGCAGAGGCAAGAGTTAATGGGGGAATTTTCTTTTCTGCTTCTAGTAGTAGTTCTGAGATTATATTTTTCTTGCAGCATTGTCCAAAGGCTTCAGCGATCAGAGAAAGGAAAGAAATAAAAAGAAAAGCAACCAATACTTTGCGGTTTATGGGAGTTGGTAGTTGTTTGTATTTTCAATAGCTTGACTGAATAATTGTGCCTTATGGCTTTAATAATGACTGACAGCGAGGCAGAAGCTTTCATGATCATGCCAATCTTTTGGAATATAGTGATAATAATTCTAGAGTCTATCATTTCTAAGTTCACAGAGCTTAGAAAGAATGTTCCCTTAGGAAACAAACTATGACTACTTGAATGAAAATTGAAGTTCTTGGAATGAAGACAGAACTCTTGAATTGATTTTTGCCTGCTGATAATGTTATCTTGGTACAATATTTTTTTTCTATTCCAGATAACATTAGCTAGTATAGATGGAGAACTTCAAAAACTTAAAGAAATGACCAATCATCAGAAAAAACGTGCAACTGAAATGATGGCATCTCTGTTAAAAGACCTTGCAGAAATAGGAATTGCAGTTGGAAACAACGATGTAAAGGTAAGTCATCTAATGACCATTAAGATTCGAAATCCATCCTGCCCCTGACTGGCACATCCCTATCACTGTATGTTTTCTCTTTTCATTATTAATTTATCATTAATAATACTCATTATAGTATTTATGCATGAGAAATATTGCATAAACATGCTTTTCTTTTAAGACAGCTTTAAAAGTATACTTGCCAATTCCCATGAGAGTCTGTTATTTTGATGGCAACACAGCAAGTATCAATAACCATAGTTTATAAGAAATCAACTATAGATATTGTCAGAAGTGGCAATAAAAACTATTTTAAAACAAATACTTTTGATGCCCCAAATCTGACACATCGAGTTAGATATAGTTTGTATGTCGCTTTTGTTACAATCTCATTTTAAAAAGAATTTCATAATTAACAATGAAGTTGACACTTTAATAGGAAGAAAATTGTCTAATGCTAAATAATATATGAACTCAGAATAAGTTACTGGATTATTTTATGAACTTTCAAACTTTTGGAGCTAAACATTAATTATTTCTTAGCAGCCAGAAGGAACTGGTATGATAGATGAGGAATTCACGGTTGCAAGACTCTACATCAGTAAAATGAAATCTGAAGTAAAAACTATGGTAAAACGTTGTAAGCAGTTAGAAAGTACACAAACAGAAAGCAATAAGAAAATGGAAGAAAATGAAAAGGAACTAGCAGCCTGTCAGCTTCGTATTTCACAGGTAAATTTGATTTTGTTCTGTTTGTTAAATATTTTGTAACAACCTTGTTCAGTATGATGTTCTTCAATAGCCACCCTACCTGGGAATTTGAGGATCTTGTTTAGTATAATACAAGGGCAAAGGACAAGGAGATTAGGGTACCCCAATTTTAAAATGGCTATTAGTGAGCATATCATTCATTTTCCATCCTCTTCCTGTAGAGAAGTTAGTATTCTGTTGCCAGTGAATGTGCTGAGTCCTTATTGGGCTTGAAAATGTTTTAAAATACTTTTTCTGAATGCTTGAAAATCTCTCTACATCACTGATACCTTGTGTGCTCATTACGCCATTTCCGGTACGAAAATAATTAGATATGTTGGTATGCATTGGAAATGGAGCAGCTTTTTCTAAGCTATGAATATTAGATTTTATTTGCTTGAACATTATAAATGAAATTGAGCTAGAGAGCAGTTTTTGGTGAGTTTGAATTTTGGAGTTTTTTTTTTTTTTACACAATTAGTATAAAAGTATCAGTAATTCTTATATTTTATAGTTTAGGTTACATCTCTCAGTATGTCTAAGCTACAATGAATGCATGTAATGAAATGTATCTTCTTAATGAAATGTAATGTAATATATCTTCTTGTAATGAAATGTATCTTCTTACTGGCTTCTGTAGGTTCAGGTTTTCCCATCTAAACTAAACAAAAATTGTAATTACCATATTCAAAGGAAATACCTATGTCTGATGCTGGCAACTCCCAATACTGTCAGAAAATATGCAAGGAATCCAGATGAATGGATTTTTAAAATTAGGGCAGCTATGTTTTTTTCTTTCCCAGGTTGACCTTAAAATACTAATGAAACCCTTAGTAAGCACCTTTAATGTAGAAAGGAAATTCACTTATCCCCATTTGGATAATGCAAATTGTTTTTATAATGGAGCAGTTTAAAAAAATGTAAGGAATTTAATAGACTTCCATATTCTTGAACTTTCTCATGTGTAATTCTCATATTCCTATTTTACAGCTTGATGTATCATTAGTGTTTATTGAATAAAATTTCTTGCTATAATTCAATAATAGAGCAAGAAAAATGAATATATTAAAGATTGATAAAATTGAATTATTTGAAAAAGGACACATTTGATTTTGCATAATACAGATGATTCAGAAAGTATTCTTCAATTTAGTCTTTATGTTTTCTGGAAATTGTATAATATATGTGTGTTTTGATATATTACTTAAACCATCAGTTTTTTAAATCACTGATACATGTCTCTAATTCATTGAAATATCAATCCTACTTTTATCTTGAAGCATGAAGCCAAGATCAAATCACTTACAGAATATCTTCAGAATGTGGAACAGAAGAAAAGACAGCTTGAAGAGTCTGTGGATTCTCTTAATGAGGAGCTAGTTGAACTCCACGCCCAAAGTATGTATTGCTTTACATTGCTGTTTTTATGTGAATGGTTAAGAACATGATTCCTAAGCTGAGAAGTTGAAGTTCTAAGTTATGTTAACTGATACATTTCTGCAATAAGGGAATGGTAGTGTATTTGCTACTAAGCATATTTTAATCACATATGTAAGAGGGTATATATATTGATACCCTTTAATTGATATTAAAGTGATGGATTAAGACTAGAAAGACAAGTTCAAGGCCTCAGTTGGCTATATAAGCTCTATAGATAACTATGAATTAATCACTCTGTTAGCATACGTCATCCCTTAGGATGATTTCATTAGAACAGTTGGGTGGAGTTATGCTTTCAAGTTGTAAAGGAAATAGCAACATAATGCTTTACAGCCCTCTCTAAGCATTTTACATAGTCAGTATATTGTTCCCAACAATCTGGGTCCTCATTATAATATATAGGTAGTCCTTGCAACCATTTGTTCAGTGACAAAGTTATAAGGGGGCTGAACAAATGGTACTTCCATCAAGTCCCTGAAGTTGCAGCCATTGCAGCATCCCCACATTCACATGATTAAGATTTGGGTGCTTGGCAGTGCACCCAAACTGAGGAGGGTTCCTCTGCCCTTTCGTCTGCAGTACACAGCAATACTACTCAGTGTACCAGGACAGATGTAGAGGCCTGGGACCTTTACCAGTCTCAGCTGGCTGCCATCATCCTTCAGCCTTTACTTTAGTCTCAGTGGTGCTGCCGCCAAGGAGTCCTGTCTCTAGCATCACAACATGGTGATAGCTGCCCCTATCGCCTATGCTCCACAGGCCTGCTGCATGCACTCTTCACTGTCTTCCTCTACTGCTCATGTGTGCCTGATCTTGGGCAAGGCAACTGCTGACAGGCTATGACTTCTTCCCAAATCTACTCATGTTGTTCCTCAAAAAGCACCTGCCATCGCCATGATGCCTTGGAAGACTTGCAGAAAATTGAAAAGGCAGAGCAGGCAGTATGTAACTCTACCAAGGCTCAGGGGAAAAAGGAAGCCAGGAATGGCTTGGATTAGGGTTGGCCCATGCCTAACAACAACTGGCAATCTTACAACAATGGTAATGGGGACTGCCGGGATTCCTGTCACTAAGTCACATGGTGTCATGCTTTATTATTGCTTTACTTAGTGATTGAAATTCTGGTTTAATTACTATCATAATTCAGGAACTACCTGTAAATCCAATAAATCAATTATGCGTGTGAAAGACAGGTTGACTAGTGAATTTCTCAGAGATATCTGCAGAAATAGAATACTTACTGGGTTGCCTGCTAGTTTGATAATTCAGGATACTTGTATTTATGTAAGGTACAAGTATTAGAGGACTTTTTATACTATCTGATTATGTGTTTTAAAAATGAATTCTCTACCCCCCTTTCTTTACTAGGAAAAGTTCATGAAATGGAGAAGGAACATCTGAATAAAGTTCAGACTGCAAATGATGTCAAGGCAAGTGTACCTATATTTTAATACATTCTTTAAAGGGAATTAACTAAATACATTGTCATTATGCTGTAAAATAACCAGAACATTTGGTTCTTTAGCAAGCAGTTGAACAGCAAATCCAAAATCACCGTGAGACTCATCAGAAGCAGATTAGCAGCTTGAGAGATGAAATTGAGGCAAAAGAAAAATTAATAACTGATTTGCAAGAGTAAGTTTTGCATACTGCTTTGTCGTAATGAGTGGGATTGGTGGGAATAATTTATTTTTGCTTATGAACTAGATTTTTAGGTGCACTATTTTCTTTGGTTTTCGCCCCTCCCGAATGCTGAGTGAATGTTGAGTTTTATTGTCTAATTTACTTTGTGCACATTTCTTTTTGGTATTGTCCTACACTCCCCTTCCTTTTTTGATTGTAAGCCGCCCTGAGTCCCCTCAGGGAAAAGGGCGGCCTATAAATAAATAAATCTACAAATCTACAAATCTACAAATCTACATACTAATATGTTAGCCTTTTTTAGCAGGTGGATAAAACTTTGGTGACCACAGTGGCCAGAAATACCATTTTTATATTAATTTTCTTCATTTTTACAATCCCCCCCCCAAAAAAAATTAATTAAAAAGCACAGTAGAATTAAAATAAAAATATGTACTTTAAATCTAGGTAACAGAATTGATTCTGGTTCTAAAACTGGATCTACTCCATTTTTCACTCGATTTGATTGAAAGAATGGAACCAGTTATGAAACATAGTTCATCTGCAGGAGATAATAATAAATACTCTGTATTCATCAGCATGGAGAACAAATGCTAAATGCAAGATGAAGTAGAAACCATCACTTTTGTTCTCACTGTGCAAAGTGAATTGAATTTCCCTATTGGAGGAAGCATGACTGATGAAGTGGCAGCAGCTGTCAAATTTCCCAGTGAGAGAAAGTGTGAAACAACAACTAAAGATTCCTTCCTTCCTTCCTTCCTTCCTTCCTTCCTTCCTTCCTTCCTTTGCTTTTTCTTTTTCTTTTTCTTTTTCTTTTTCTTTTTCTTTGCGATGAGAGAAGGCATGCAGCACATGAATTGTCATATTGTGAAGTGAGAACATCAGTATGGTCTGTGTTATCTGCCCCATTGGAAAGGGCATAAGACATTTTGAAGGAAAGTCTTCAGGAGTGGCTTTCTCAAGCTTAATTATCCCACTCTTTTCTGCCCGGCCAATCTGCATTTTCCCCAGTTAACCTTGTAGGGTCTTTCAATTGATTGATTACAAGAGTGGTTGTACTTGATTTGTGCTAGTTTATGTCTTTTGGCTAAGATGTGAACAAGACCAACAGCCTTGTTTGGAAATACTGGATTTGAGGTACAGATCTTGCTGCAGATAACAAGGAGGCTTGGGGTACAAGAGCTTGATAAGTTAGAATGGGCATTAATTTACACATTCGTACTAAATATAAACAATTTTTATTTAAAATCAACTAAGTTCATCTTGTAGCTCAGACATGTTGAGAATTAAACCAGTTATCAGTTGGTTCCAAAATAAGTGCTAGGGCCTATATGGTTGATCATCATCTTGGTTTTGAGATATCAAAATTCATAATAAATTTAGTATGTCACAAAGTAAATAATCACTATTGCTCACTTCAGTTAATTTTTATTTCTGTGTTCAGTCAAAATCAGAAGATAATACTAGAGCAGGAACGGCTCAGAATTGAACATGATAAGTTGAAAACTGTGGACCAGGAAAAAAGCAAGAAATTGCATGAACTTACGTAAGTAAAGACAATTTATATTTAGATATATAATAAAAATCAGTTAATGCTATTCATTTTGGTATACTTTTCAAAAAATTGTTTTCCAGGCCTATGAAGTCTGCTTTTGAGATATTGTATTCTTTTACCATCTTATATTTTAGTAAAATATAAGATTTTAGTAAATATTAATTAAATATATATTCATCATCTTTCTCTTACAAAGAAAAACAGGAGAGATATAGCTTGACCTTAATAATTGCTAGTTTGCCAGGTTTAGGTTTTTTTAGTTGTTCTGAGATGGAAGATGGGTGCAATTAGAGCTTTGGCAAGTGGCTTGTTGTGCCATTCTTTGAATAACATAATTGTTTCAAAGATGGATTACTTTGCATTTGTTCCATTACATTTCATGCAATATACATACATGCTTCTGCAATATTTATTGCAAGTGCATATAATTAATAATATCAATAAAATGTCAAATAATTTCATTTATTTGGGTCATAGCTTCTAAAGTAATGTGCAAAAATTTGCATAAGATCGACATTGTTTTTAATCAATATTTTTCTTATGTAATTCAGTGTTTAAATTGTGGAATATCTTTATATGTTTAATGTATTAGTCCAGGTTTTTTCATATTATTTAAAAATATCCAGAGACTTGAGAACAAGTACTAAAAGTTTAATGAATTTTAATTTATGATTTCAGTATTATACAAGATAGAAGAGAGCAAGCAAGGCAAGACCTAAAAGGTTTAGAGGAGACTGTGGTAAGCTGTATATTCTGAAAAAAATCTTTGAAATTCTTCAACTACTTTACCAAGAGAAGTCTTAACTCTAATACTCTTATGCTTGTTAGGCCAAAGAACTTCAGACTCTGCATAATCTCAGAAAACTCTTTGTTCAGGATTTGGCTAGCAGAGTTAAGAAGGTATTGTCACACTCAGTTTTTTTATTTTAAAATATATTTAATATTTTGGATTTTCATTCTGCAAGAATCTGAACCCCAATTGTATTTCTTCTTATCAAAGAGTGCAGAGATTGATTCAGATGATACTGGTGGGAGTGCTGCTCAGAAACAGAAGATTTCTTTTCTAGAGAACAATCTTGAACAGCTCACAAAAGTCCATAAACAGGTAAAACTGTAATAATCTTATATTTTTGTTTGCATTACTTAAAAAAGCTACATTAATAATAGTTTTATAAAGTTTTATAGCTTTGCTCTGTATTAACAAAATCCTTACATAGTTCCCTAAGTAACCCCAAAGCTAAGTAACAAAGAAAAAGAGATCTATAGATCTATCAAATTGTCATAAGTAAATACTTAGCATTAGAGGATGAGTTCCACATAAAGTCCTCACCACCACCACATGGCAATCAATCAACATATAGATAAACTGGAGTTACCGCCTTATGAACAACAACTAACAAGCAAAAAGCAACTGGAATATAATTATTGGAGAAAGAGAAACACACCCTCCCAATAAGCCACACAGCTGTCAGCAAACAAATAGAACCACCACTTTATCATTCAAATGATCTACCAACAACAGGGCATCAGTCAGTTGCATATTAATATCTATTTAAGAGGTTCATCCAAGAACCTGCAAAGTTAGGCAGGGAAATTGGATATATAATGCCTACTAACCAAGAAAATGTATTTCTTGAAAACTCCTGCACCAATGAGTCAGTTTGATCTAGTGATTGTGATACGAAGCTAGAAAGCAGGAGGGTGACTGGAAATTCTCAGTCATCCACGTCACAGTTATTCCAAAGGTGTTTTTTTTAAGAGGCAGCTGGACTTGCTTGTTTTTGTTTTCGAAGACTTTTCGCTTCTTGAATGGGAAGTGATATGTCTTCAAGAAAAGAAAAGAAAGTCCTCTTGTCTCTCGAAAAAGCACCTTTAGGACAGGAGAGTGTGAGATCTAATCCCATTTTAGGCATGGATTACTTTGGGCCAGTCATACACTCTCAGCCCAACTTGCCACACAGGGTGGTGGTTATGGGGAAAATAGGGAGACAGAGGAATATTTGCTTCGAGTTATTTATAAAAATAAGAAGGGGGGAATATAAATAAACAAAAGCCAAGTTTGCAGAAAATAAATAATGTGATATGCTAACCCTGAGCTACATGGATTTGCTGCCATCACAGCCAATGTTGTACCTGTGTTAAGAGTTAGAGCTATTACTGATTACTAAGTATAGTTGGTAAAGCATAACATTCAGGCGTCAGAAAGCTTTTTTGTTTCTATTATGATGTGTACTTAGTCTAAGACTTTGACAATATATTCATTTTCTAAGCTGTCACTTTGTGTTCATAGATAGTATAGGTGTATAACCTTCAGAATCAATTTGGATGAGGTGGTTTGGGATTTGTGGGACTCTCAACTTAGGACTTAAGCAGCTACATCTTTTTTCAGGATGATGCAGCTGGAAATAAGACACGTGCTACTGTCACAAATTCATATGCTCTAATGAGCCTCTTCTAAATTGTACCTAAAACATTTCATTCACTTATATGATATCATTCAGAAATATCATTTATTTTTAGTTTATAAAAGAGTTGGAGGTGGAGGAGGGGTGTTTAGATTAAAATGAATTAGTTCTTCAAAATATTTTATAGGAATTAAATGGAGAAATCAATAATATTGTTTATGATTGAACACTTATTTTGTGTGATAGAAGTGCTTTATTTCATATTTATTAGAAATTGACAATAATCTGTAAAATTTGTTGAACAAATTCACACACATTTTATGTCCAGTTGGTACGTGATAATGCAGATCTTCGCTGTGAACTTCCAAAACTGGAGAAACGGCTTAGAGCTACAGCTGAAAGAGTTAAAGCTTTGGAATCAGCATTAAAAGAAGCAAAAGAAAATGCTTCCCGAGATCGTAAGCGATACCAGCAAGAAGTAGACAGAATTAAAGAAGCAGTGAGATCCAAGAACATGATCAGAAAGGCACATTCAGCACAGATTGGTAAGTAGAACAAATAAAGCATAAACATGATGCGTTTACAAACACAGATTTTAAAATAATAGAATATAACAAATGTGCATACTATTAGACTGTTATTCCCTTATTTGGGTTGTTGGGGAAATTTTGAAATTCTTATGCCTCAAAATCTGTGTATAGCAATAATTAAAATACAGCAAGTATTTTTACAGTACAAAGGAATTAAATGACCTATACTTGCAATTAAAAGTATGGCATAAAAGGAAAGAGAAATGGAAGAGGAGAGAAAAGCACTAATTCAGTTACTAGAACCCAGTAAGTAATGTTGCTGGAATGAAAACCACATTAGAAAAGCTGGTGGCCTTTTGCGCACTAGAGGGAATGGTACTTTCAGGGAAAATTGAATCCAACAGTATGGAAAATCTATGATTGCCTGAAAAAAATAGGTTTTAGCAGCTGGGCTTCTTGGAATTCACATTTTCACATCTTGCTATATGCAAACATTTAATTGTGGATTGTAAAGAACAGAATTCTTCCCTTCTCTCCTCTTCCTCTGAAAATAGTTTTGTATGACTTAAATAAAGTAATAATAAATCCCACTTCAGAAAAGAAGCTCACACCCTTGAAAATAGTGTGGCATGTAGCACATGGAGATGAGGTCTGCCAGTGGAAAGAAGAGCTAGTGTAAAAAGATTGTCCTGTCCTTAGCAAATAGCAGGGCTCTGGGGCACTTCACTCCTATGCCTTTTGAAAGGAGCATTTCAGGTTGCAGAAACCTAGTTCTGCACTTTAGTCATCTGTGCACCTATGTGTAGAAATACATATAGTTCAGCTTTCCAAGATACCAATTCTTCCAAAGGAAATGGATTAATTGATAAAATTATGTTATATTTCATAATGTACTAAGAAATCTTGTGGGATCTTTTCCACAAGACAGCTGTCATTTAGTGTGGCAAACTTGTTTTCAGTTGTATACTTTGCCTATTGAAGCACTCATGTAAAAATCTGTGTTTAATATTCTGCATTTTAAAAAAATACATATTACAATGCATCTTAGATTATTGTCACTACACATTAAATATAAATATAAGTATAATTGTAATTTAAAAAAAACTTCATTGTTTTGTGAAACATCAAGGTATGTTTTTCTGGTCTAGCAATTCCTACTCAGATATATGTAATAACTACCGTATTTTCACCCATATAACCCGCCCACGCAAATAACCCGCCCACGNTCTGACTCTGTATTTATCGTTTATAAATATGGGTGTGAACTTTATTTTGTATGTGTGTTTGTATAAACAAACACTGGCTATAACAATGAGAGAAAGAGAGAGACAGATACAGACATATATAGCATTCTATAATATACAGTATCATCTTATTCGACACCTGCAATATGCTCATACTTAATTATGAAATAGCACGGTATTTCTGAAAGAAATTAAAATTATAAATGAAGAAAAGGATCTCGATCCATTAATAAAGTTTTCAATTGATGCTGCTCTGTGTCCGAATATAATGCATGCTTTAAATTATTGGGAAGTAATTTACGCTGCTTGCAAATCGCTCCCTTTCCTTATATCATAATTTCATATTCAACTGAGAAATCCTAAAATTAGGCAGAAAGGCCTTTTCCAATTTTAGAAGGTGAGGAGGAGGAAGCAGCCTTCAGCCCAAAGAGCTCCTCCTTTTGCCCTGACCATAGAACATGAGTGCCATCTATTGAAAATGGACTGAATTGGCTTTTTAAAAGAGGGATTATGCATGTACACAGAGAAGCACACACACACACACACACACACACACACACACACACACAGAGACACATATTCATATACATATTATTTACTTTTCTGAGTAATGTATCATTAATCTTATATGAGAACTCCTATCTGTTGACTGAGTAACTTGGCCATTCCATCACCCATCAACAAGGAAATACAGCCATGAACTGCTATCAAATTCCAGCATTTCTCAAAATACACCATAAAATGCGCTCCTTGGCTTTCCATGACAACTTTGCCAGTAAAATAAAGTTTTTTAAAAAAAAAATCCTGAGAGAGAGAGAGAATTATGGAATGAGAATATATTTGACATGATAAAAATAGGCACTCCAAAATATTAACCTCGGAGTCAGCATTTGGAAAAAAAATTAAAAAGGAGGACAAAACCCAGTCTATGCAGGCATGCAGAGATATAATTACCTTCTTTAAGGAACTGGGAGTGGATTACAAATATAAGAAAACAGCAGATAGCTGTTCCTGCTAGTGCCCATAAAGCTTTCAAGAACTGCATCTCGGGTTGGAACTCAGCAAATACCAAGAAAGTCACACAATGAATTTCCAGAGCGAGGCATCAATGTTTCTCGGGGTTTTGAGCCAGCCAGTAAAAGCCACACTTCCGAAAATCAGAGGGGGAAAAGGCGAAACGATCGGAGGAGATAGCGATTTTTCCCCCTCCCTCCCTTTCTAAGGCTGGGAGAGGGGAAGAACTGGGAAGGGGGGTTCAACACAAAGTCTCAACCAGCAGCGGTAGCAGCAACATGATCTCCCCATAGAGAGGACTAGGGGGAAGAATGGTTCGGGGCTCCATGAATCAGCTTTCTGTTTCCTTGCGAGTTGAGCAGCATGGGGGGGGGGGAGATCGAGAAGAAAGGGGGAGACAATCTGGGCAGAATTGCGCAATCGCTCCCCCTTATTCGGATGAGGGCTTTTTTCTTCTTCCCCCACCCCACCCCCCCGCTGCTGGTTCTTCTCCTCCGCGATGGCTTCAGTTCAGCAGCTTAGCAGAATGCGGGAGGCGATCCGATCCGATCTTTTCCCCCGGAAAGCCGATGCCCCATGGGCAAGGGGAATCTTGTTCGCTGCCACTGTTCACCCAGGGCTGGCAGGCTGGCAGAGTCCAGTTAAGGCGAGAAAGGGAAAAGTGCGGGCTGCGGGAAGGGTTTTCCTGCGTGGAAATGGGGGGGAGGCGGAGAAACGGCTCGCTAAATTTCCTGCAACTTCCCCCCCCGACGCCCGCGGTCTGTGCTTCGCCCCCGCGGGGCTCCCGGATAGCCCCCTGGCTCTTCCTCCCCCAATGCAAAGCAATTCAATTAATTCTTCCTTTTTTAAAAATAATAATAATCGCAGGTGCCAGCTGGCCCAAAGCAGGGCAGTTTCTCGCCGTTCTGCGAAGCTGGGAAAGGATGCGGGAGTTTCCTTCTTCTTCCTGCCCCCCTCCGTCTCCCCGCTGCCACCTTTCAGTCTCCCCAGCCTCGTCCGGGAGAAGCGGCTTGGTGGCTTCTTCCTTTCGTACCCCGGTGCGCCTCCCTCGCCACCGCAAGTCGCCTTTTGCCCCCCCACCCAAATAATAATACTAAATAAGCAGGTGCGCCGCTTGGGCTGGCTTGGCTTCTCGGTTAGATAAGACCAGCCGGTGTCCCCCCTTTTGCCGGTTTATTTCGTCGTCATCCGCCAACCCCAGAAATCCGTGCAGTTCGAAAGCTGAGCGAGGCGAACGACCCCGGCGAGGGTAGCAGCAGCGTCTGAAGAAGAAGCCTCCCCTTCGCAAAGGCTCTTCGGCTTCAGCCAGCCAGCGGCTTCCCCGGGCTGCCTCGATGGGCACTGGCGAAGGGGCGAGAGAACTGCAGGCGGCTCGCTTTCCCCCCGAGCTTCCTTCTCTTCGAGGGTGGGGAGGTTGGTTGTGGCTGGATTGCCGGCTGTAATCTCCTTGGGTTTGCGCGGGTGCCAAAGCTGCGTGGACGGCTTGCAAGCTGGCCGAGGTACGCCCGCAAAGGACCCGTCTCTGCCAAGCGGCAGACCCGAGTACCCTCCTCTGGAAGGAGAGGGAAGCAGAGAGGAGCGAGGATCGGATCGTGTGTGTCTTTTTGGAGGGGAGGGGGATCCGCCACTTCTCTTCCCCTCTTCTATAGAAGGCGGCTGGCTCTGTTGCCGGATCGTCTTGCCCGATCCGCGGTAGCTCAAGCGGCCCCTCCTCAACGCGCTCGATCCCAGCTGCTCGTTTGAAAGATTGCTAGCGCCATCGAGTAACTTTCCCACAGCCTCGCTTCTTCGGCGCGCGGGGCTTCTTCGCTATTAATGAGCATGCCCAAGAGGCGAGCCTGCGCGCTAGGCGCAAGGAAACCGCACGGATTCCGATCTGGTTCCCCTGCAGTCAGCTCTCCGGGTGTAAACAAGGGGAAGATGAGGCGGGCGGGTCTTTGGGTGGTTTAACCCAGCTTCGGGTTTTCTTGGGGGGTCTTGGAGGCTCAAAGCCGCAGGCGGAAAGGCGCGACGTAGCCATGGTGTCCAAAATAGGTCAAGAAGCTGCGTGATCCCCAAAGCCAAGTCGATCTGGATGAGAATGATCCAAATGAAGAACTTCAACGCTTTTGGTTCTGTCAACCAACCGACTGGCCAAGAAATAGTTTCGAGTTTTGAAAAAAAAAGGCAACAAGCAAACCTGTTTCCCAAAGCAGGGAGATAAAAGTAAACAGTAAACAGTAACAAGAGTTGGAAGGGTATCTTAGCTTGCGGAATGTAAAACAGATCGGTATGTATGATAGCAGTGAGGCAAATAAAAAAGGGAAGAAAAATAGTCTTGACGTCTACTATGCCAGCTCTGCATCCCCTTTTTACTGTTTAACATGGTTTGATTTCATTTCTCTTCCATCCCCGTTTCTATTAGTTTCTTTCTAACAATATTCTAACCCAATTCTAGCAATCCTGTCTTTTTATGTACTGAGCATATTCACCAAAGGCAAATTCCTTGTGTGTCCAATCACACTTGGCCAATAAAGAATTCTATTCTATTCTTCTATTCTATTTTATATTGCCCGTGTGCCATCTGCAGTTTATTGCTGGCTTCCTGCTCACCACTTGCTACTCAAAGCTACCCACTGATATCCCAGCAGCTCCCAGGGGAGGTTTTTTTATTATTATTATTGGCATTTCATCTCCTTATCATAATTTCTTAACACTGCACGTTATCTACCTCTCAGTGACTGTCACTAAAATCAATAGGACTTACTTCATTGAAATTAATAGGACTTACTTAACCATTTTCCCATCAATCTTATTGCCTAGGCAAAAGATTGTAAAAGCCATTGTTATATGTGTACCAAAAACCATTAAGGTGTTATGAACTCTTGAGTTCACAACCAAAAAAAACCTGGTTGCTTACCCTTTAGGATTATCAGTACAAAAGACGAGATAGAGTATATTTTGTGCAGAGTGGGATATGGCTTAGATTTTATTTCAGCAATCACTGTTACTAGCCTACAGAACAGACCAAAAGAGTTCAGTTTGAATTGTCTTTTTATGTTATACAGTGCAGAATTATTCAAGAATGAGTTTGCAGAACCACATGGAGGACAAATATCCTGTTTTGATACCATCTCTAGTTTTGGAGATTTATCTATTGTGGAATGTAATCCTTATTCTGTATGTGCTGGTCACATATGGATATTTAAGGCAAACTGAAGCTGAAATTCTATTCACACTTGGGAAGTTAAATATTAATAAGTAAAATATGCGGGAATAGTTTATTGGGCTTATTCTTGGCAAGAATGCTCTCTTCAAATATAAACTGAAGAGTTTAAAAGTTAATATCTTGATGCTATAAAAAGAAGTTGTGACGTCTAATATTCAGTCTTTTTGGGAATCATGCTAATATTAAAACAATAAGATGATCATGCAGGTCTGACAACTGGGGAATAGGTGGAAAGTAGTCAAATTTTATTGATTTCAGATTTTTTTATCCCACCTTTATTAGTTTTATAAATAACTCAAGCAGACAAAGATAGCTAATACTCCTTCATCTTTTTATTTTCCACACAACAACAGCCCTTTGAAGTGGGGTATTGACCTGTTCAGTTTTTAATTTTAATGAATTTGAACATGAACATGTGAAAATCAAGAGCTTTGTTTAGTTATGAAGAAACTGTTAGGAGGAAGTTAATGATATGCAGGTAAAAGCAAATATATCATTTGTAACATGAACTATTGGTACAATGCATAATACAAAGGAAAATTTATAGTTTTAGTAACCTGTTGATCAATTGCAGCAAGGAAAGAGATAATTGTTATATATAAAATTACTAGAGGGTTTTTTTTTTAGAAAAGATGGAAAAGTTATTTAAGAATACTAGAAAATCTTGCAATGTAACTAATTAACAGAAAATATACTTTTTGCAATATATACAGCAATGAACTAGGAAAACTTAATACAAAGCTAGTCTACTATAATTAAAATGTTAATGTATTCAATACAGGCTATTCATGAGGTAAAGTAATTGTTGTTGTTGTTAACCAGAGGTAGTATTCAGCCGATTCAGACCATTTTGGACGAGCCGGTAATGCCAATAATCAGTTGGCCCCACCCAACCGCCTCTCTCTATCCTGTCCTTTATTTCCTGCTTTCTAGCTTATCTCAATCGCGCGGCACAGCTGATTCCCCCCTTGCTGTTCTACTTACTGTATTTTTCGGCATATAAGAGGCACTGGAGTATAAGACACACCAAGATATTGAAGAGGCAAATTAAAAAAAAAAAAGATTTTGCACTCTGCAGACCTCCCCCAAATGGGCCACGGGCCCGTTTTTCTTTTNAGGGGCGAGAGAACTGCAGAACTCCCTTTACCGGTAGTTAATCTGTGTAAAATATTTTGCGTATACCCCGCCCACTTTTATACCCCGCAGGGGGGCGCTGTGCATGTAAAAAACGCATATAACCCGCGGGTTATATGGGTGAAAATACGGTAACCCACAGCAGTGTAACCTTAATGCCCAGTCCTGAAGGCACTGAAAATCTCCTTTAGTTCATTGGACGAAGAAATCCAAAATCCAAAATCCAAAAGCAAAGCAAAAATTAGCTAATTACAAATGTTGAACTAATTGTAAATAGCCATCTTCACCTGAAGTATATTGAACTACTTTTCTGGAACTTAAATATTTCTTGCTTTCATTTAATCTAGTATATTAATCACATTTTAATTTGTCACATGGCCTTGCTTTATCTTTTACACTCCCCCCCCCCCCCATATAGCTAAGCCTATTCGTCCTGGTCAACATCCAGCTGCTTCTCCAACCCATCCAAATGCAATTCGTGGTGGAACTGCTTTTACCCAAAATAGTCAGCCAGTTGCAGTACGTGGAGGTGGAGCTCGGCAAGAGAAAGCATGAATTATGATAATCAAGGTTGGTTGATTACTTTAAACTGGTTGTTTACTTTATATGTAAGAAATTTGAAAACTTCTTCAAATACAAGAAGGAATGATTTAAAAACATACCAGAATTGTACACTAGGATTAGAATCCTATAATCATTACTGACATCATGGAGATTGTATATTTTTTGAATAAATGTATGTAGTTATGAAAATTTGTATAAAGTTACACTTTGGAGACTAAGAATTGTAAGCACGTTTCATTTATGCATGTTCTTTGTGGTTATTTCTAGATGGTGAGAAGTACACACAACATGATCAGAATTGGATATTGCGCAATGAGAGTCATTCCTTGAAAATTAGAAAATTGTATAAATTTGTACCATCTGTACAGCTCTCCTCATTTTTCGATTTGGCTAATTGAGTCCCAGGAAATTAGAATTCTTTCTTGGAAAATTGACATATAACTTAAAATGTAGGTCTCATTATATGATCTTGTCGTTCACGTCTTAAATTTAGTCTGCACTGTGCCAAGTTGAATGTATGTTAAGCAACATCTTAAAATTTCCTAGTTTAATTTATATATATTTAATGGTCTTAGGAAGTGTGGAGCTATGTTGAAATAAGTTTCAACCCTTATAACTTTAATTACACTATTTGACCCACTCATGAATTAGAACACTGTACATTAATTTTGCCTATACGGCTGTATAGAGACTAAGACTAAAATTATTTGTACAGTATGAAATTACTGAGATGTGTTTATGACGACTGCTGCCTTTAGGCACTGAAATCTCAAAAACATAGAACTAAGAAAGTGTTCTTGTAAGGCTATGTAACTGTTTAGTTAAATATCTTTTACTGGGTTATTGAGTTAATACTGTGTATAGCAAGTAATAAATATAGATTGACATGAAAAGATTTGGCAATGACTTTGTCTTATTCCTGACTATACACAGAATAGCATGATGAGATGAAAACATTCTGCTTCCTCTTGATCAGCCTATCAATCATCAGAGCTGTATAAATTTGGAAGAAAAATTAGGAAATTATTTTGCATTTATGTTTTTTACTGTAATAAATTTTATTCTAGAAGTAAACTCTACAATGTTCTATAAATGAAAGTCTAGAGTAATCTGCAAACTACAAATTTGGTTTAAAGCTTGAGAATAAGAATGGATTCATTAATTTTCAGCAACTGAAAAATAGGAGCAAAGTTAATTGTTTAAAAAGACTAGAAATGTTAGATGACTGGAAATTAAGCTATACTGAACTTTCACTGTAATTAATTTGTAAATCTAGATTTCTGTAAATGTTTGCTTTCCAGACATCTTCTCAGACAAATTAATTAGTCTTTATTTGTTTTTGCAAAAAGTCCCAACCTCTATTTTTTTTCTAATGAGAGTTTTGCCCTTTAGAATGGCACTTCAGGAAGTTCAAATAATGCCTTTGATAGAGGCTTCCTGCACAATAAATTCTAAAGGCGTTAGAAGGATTTCTCATAACAAGGTTTGTAGGAGTAGAAGAATAAACTGCAGCAATGGAGATGCTAAATAACTGGTTTCCTGGAATGCATTTATGCTAGTTTTGTATCTCGATACAGTAAGTTCACAAGCACTTGGAGATAAAGGTTTTCTGTAGATTTTTATGACTAACTTTTTTACAAATTAAAGTATTTGTATTATGATGAAGCTTAATGATAGAAAAATTAGGTTTTTTCCCAATAACTTTTCATTTGTGGTTTCTAAAATAATTTTTAGAGTCTGGGCTTTTTTTTTAATCAGCCAAGCTACCGTGTTTCCCTGAAAATAAGACAGGGTCTTATTTTCTTTTGCCCCATGAAAGATGGCCTTGGGCTTATTATAGGGGGAGGGCTTATTAGCGAGGCGGGCCTTTTACCTTTCTAGCTCTGTCGCGTTCCTCGCCATTGTGTGCAGGGAAGCCTCTGGTTAAAAAAAAACCCTTCTCGCGAGTTCAATCAAACTACTTGAAGTCGCGAGAAGGATTTTTTTTAACCAGGGGCTTCCTTGGGCACAATAGCGAGGAACGCGATGGACCTGGAAAGGTAAGAGGCGCGCCTTGCGGTCCAACACAGCCCACCTCACCCCAGTGGTAAAGGCAGCCTACCTGGTTCCCTTCCCCGCCGTCCCTTTAGCGAAGGATGGCAGGTGGGTGGGGGAGAAGCAAGCGCGCTTCTTACCTTTCAGGTCCATTGCATTCCTCACCCTTTCATCCAGTGAATCCCCTTGTAAAAAAAACCTAATGAGTTCAACTCGCGAGATTTTTTTTACAAGGGCTTCAATGGACGAAAGGGTGAGGAATGCAGCAGAGCTGTCAATCTCTGGTAGTGCTAGGACGTGCGTCTCGCTTCTTCCCCCCCCCCCCCCTTGCTACCCCTCACTAAAGGGAAGGTGGGGAAGGGAACCAGGCAGGCTACCTTTACCATTGGGGCGAAGTGGGTGGTGTTGGGCCATGAGGCGCGCCTCTTACCTTTCCAGGTCCATTGCATTCCTCGCCCTTTCATCCAGTGAAGCCTCTTGTAAAAAAAACCTCGCGAGTTGAACTCAAGGAGGTTTTTTTTACAAGGGGTTTCATTGGACAAAAGAGCAAGGAACGCAACAGACCTGGAAAGGTAAGAGGCGCGCCTCGCTTCCCCCCCCCCCCCACCTGCCACCCCTCGCTAAAGGGGCAGTGGGGAAGGGAACCAGGCAGGCTGCCTTTACCATTGGGGTGGGGTGGGCAGTGTTTTTTTGCGCAAGAAGGAACAGGCAGAAGGGGGTGATCACATTGCTGGCCTGCTGTTCTTTTTGCGGCGGGCTCTTTTTCCACAGGAGGGAAGGGCAGGAGGTGGAAGCACTTTGCTTCGCCTGCCACTGTTTGCACTTTGCTTCGCCTGCCACTGTGGGCCCTCTTTTTGGCCCGCAAGCTGTACCGGTAGGTGGTACAGTGGTAATGGTGGGGACTGGTTGCGCATGCGCTTAAATAGTTGGGGTGGGATTATTTTCGGGGGAGGGCTTATTATGGCGCATGCTCTGAAAAGCCCGATTGGGTTTATTAGCAGGGCATGTCTTATTTTTGGGGAAACACAGTACTAAGAGTTTTGGAATTGTCCCAACACAGTTCTGTGTTTAAAATAAACCCTCCAGACATAAAATGAAAAGACCTCTGCAACATAAGAGGAGATATGTACAAAAGGAAATGGGTATTTAAGTAATGGTTCTTAGTGTTTTCAGTTGCAATAGCCTATGCCAGTTTCTCAACAGTAACATATTGTTCTAATCCCGATTCAGTTTGGACAGTTCAAATTTAGTTTCTTGGCAGGATATTCAAATGAAGCAGGATATTTTCTCATGGTTGTTTATGGTAGTTTCATTCCTGTAAGTATTGTATCACAGGTTTTGGTGCTGATATGGCTGTGTAAATTAAATAAACTGTACCTAGCATGTACCTCAAAATGTACAATTTTTTTTAATACCAAGCGGGCTTTTTCTTTAATTTTGATCCAATATGAACTTTATTAAGAATTGTAACTTAGATTTTCAAAACAACTTCCTTTTAATTCTTTGGATCACCTATGGTATGTTGCATGACAGGACAATTGATGGTTTTGCAAATTTAAAATCTTCAGTCTACATTAGAATTGTTAACTGCATTGAAGTTTCAATGTATGGTCCTTGAGTCTTCTGTTCCTCTAAGTTCATTTGCTAAAAATGGCTTAGGATAAGAGTTGAATAACATGAAAGACATTATTTAAGGAGATGAACTAAATAATCTACCTAACATTACTGATACAATTATCTCTAACTTAGACATGTTATAAAAAAGTTAGCCTATTGGTACATTGGTTTATTCTCACTATATGAGGATAATAAACGATTTAGAGAGGATAGCTAACTACTTGCATGTTGTAAATGTTTTGTATTTCAAATAAAGAAAATATTTGAATTCTAGTGAAATTCATTGAGATGTAATTTAATTCCCAGGTAGAATTTCTCATGACATTATATCATTATATAGTGCACTAAGGTTTCCTAATTAATACAACCAATATTCTGCTAATATTAATTCCAGAAAGAGTCTTCAGTAGGAAGCATACAAAATAAAATAAGCAGAATTCATTATTCAACACTATTACATAAATTTATGTACAGTAGATACTTGTCAGGCACAAGTAACTAGAATCACTCTATATAGGCCCAAATAGATATTGATCTCAGATGCCCCCCCCCAACTGACTCCAAATTGAATGTCTATTTTCCCTAAAAAGGATCCCTCATTCAATTAGTAATACCACCACAGTACCAAAGATCAAGAAGCATATACGTGTGATGATGTCATTTGAACATGGTCTCAATCATGCAAACTTCTACAGTAATCCTTGACTTATAAACATTCATTTAACAACCATTCAAAGTTACAAATGCACTGGAAGAAAAGTGGCCTATGATTGGTTTTCATTTCTATGGTGACACAGTTGAGATGCAGATGCTTGACAACTGACATGTACTATTTATGAGTGATTTACTTAAGTGTGGCAAAAAAGGTCGTAAAATGAGGCAAAACTCACTTAACAACTACCTTGCTTAGCAATGGAAATGTTGAACTCAATTGTGATTGTAAGCTGAGGACTACCTGTACAAAACTATATCGTTTTCATGGATTTTGCATTCAGATATGAAAATGGATCAATATTTGCTTATAAGTGGTGTTCATATGCCCTGATATAAACCTGAAATTCAGGCCCGAACCTTCCATCTGTTGAGGGAGGATATCTAATTATCAAATTTCCATGAGATTCATAAGCCTTCCCATAAACCTGCCATACTCTTCCAAGAACAACTGTGTAAAGCTAACTTGTTATGCTGGTGCTAGGCTTTTTATTTCTGAAAAATTGCCCTGATGTAACATGCCAGAGGTAACGGCACTTAGTCTGCCCTTCATGGAAACTGTGTGCTAAAAGCTAGATGATTTTCCCAGAATGAGCCCCATTGTTGCACTCAGAATTAGGAACTCAGACGTAGAAGGTGAAAAAGAAGAGAGAGAGAAAAGGAATGAAAATGCTTCCTTGAAGAGGGTGATCTCAGTCAGCTGCTACTAAGTCCAGTATCGCCTATTAGCATACACATGAAAACAAATTTACACAGCCCAGATTCCAGTTCACACAATAAAGTATATCTTCACTGCTGACTGTAGTTCTCTAAATTAATGCAACATTTCCAGTCAGTTGCTGTGGGTGGGCCTTTTTGCTCTTGCCAGGATTTTAGCCACCATGGCAAAGAGAAAACACTTGAAACACAAAATGAGTCTGCCTTCCCCTCTGATAGGACCCCACCTGCAAAAGGGAACATTCTCCTTGTTTGCTCTCGAGTC